TTTTTTTTTTTTTTTATTATAGTCTAGCTAGGGTTTTAACAGGCTCTGAAAGGAGGAAGCTGCAGTGGGCTGAGAGGGAAGGTATAGTCATGATTTAATAATTGGTGAAAGGAAACACAATGCAGGAAAAAATGTGGAATTTTCTGAGCAGAGTGGTGTTCCCAGTGGAGTTGCACAGGGATGTGTGGTATTCAACAAGCTCATAAACAACCTAGTGAAAAGGAGTGAACTGTGAGGTGGCAGACTTTGCAGGTGTTGCAGAATTACTTAAGGCAGCCAAATCCAAAAAGAGACTAGGAAGATTTGCCAGAAAATGTCACGATGCCAAGTGAGTAAGTAATAAAGGAGGAGAAAACATTCAATGCAAAGCATCACTTAACTGAAGATGTCTAGTGGAGGAAAAGAACAGATATCTTAGAGAGTAAATTGCTGAAAAGGAGAGAAAATTTCACCGCTTAGTGTCTTCAGCAAGAGAAATACAATATACATTATATAAATCCACAGAAAGCTTATATCTTGAATACTGGATATTTTATTAGCCCTTATATTTCAAAAAGGACTCACTAGGTCTGAGAAAGGTATGAAGTGTGACAGAGGTGATCAAATGCATGAGGAGGCCTTCATTAGACTGGGGTAGTTTTCTAATTGTGAAAAAGAAGAAACAGTAAGGATTTATTCAAGCAATTAATTATATGGAGGTGAATGATGAAATGGTTATTCACAATTTCTCATAACAAAAAGAACTGGCAGCCTCCAGTAAATCTATCAGAAAGAAGGTTTAAGGCAAACCAAAGAATGTACTTCTCCTCACAGTATGTAATTAAATAGTAAAGCTCATGGTCATTGGATATGGGAGATACCAAATTATAAAAGGGCTGAAAAAAACCCTAGAAACACATGTCATGGAGCATAGATCCTTAGCTGCAGATGCAATCATTGCCTTAGGCAGCCCCTAGATCTCTTCATTTTCAGACACTGAGAAATTGTAACAAGGAAGCCTCAGTTTTCATTTGTTCTGTTTCTTATACTGTCTTCCTAAGCATCCAGAGCAGAGCACTACGTGTTTTAGAGGATTTCTATTACCTCTTTGCTAATGCTTTTAGTCAGACACGCCCGCAATGGATGTTTTATTGCCCCACCTGCAAGCTGTACTGGGGAAGCGGGCATTGCCCACACCATATGGTGCAGCCACGGTAGCACACCCCAAAGCAGAGAGAAAAAGTGTATTGCGGGGAGACAAGTGTTGCTCTTGAAAGAAGTATTGCTGCTCTTGGGATGTTGGGAGCTGCAAAGCTGCGTGGTGTGGCTGGGCTGCCGAGGTGGCTGCATGGCGCAGCCAGTTTGGGCATCCCCGTGCGGGGCACGGCATGGTCTTTGGCAGTGATAGCGTTACAGACCGCAGGGCTGACATGCAGTGCAGGGTCCCAGCCTGCTGCCAGGATATTGGTGGTGGCAGTGCTGCAGTTCTCCCAGCCTGGGCACCCTCGCTGCTGGGGACAAGAGACAGTGCAGGAGAAGAGGAGTAGCCCAGCAGCAGAGCCAGGAGAGGCTGCAAGGGACAGCTGTCTGACAGTGAGTAAGAGAAGAGATGGGAAGACACACTAGGGGACTGTGGAGAGGTTTGTGTGCAGGTGGGTGGAAATATGTGTTGCTGAGTACCAGTGGACCGGTATTATTTGACAGAAACATCCTATAAGCACTTAAAAAGTCTTGTTAACATAAGCAAACAAGCTAGTCCTTCTCTGCAGGCTTTGACAAGCTCTAACCTGTTCTGGTTTTCAAAAAGCTCAGCTGAAGGGCTGTTGGGTTTTGAAATAAACTTGAGATGTGCGGAAGAAAAATCTTACCAAATTTGTTGCAGAGCTGTTGCTGGAGCACTGGGCCAGTGATGAGGCAGGGAAGGCAGAAGATAAGGGGCAAGCAATAGAATAAAGAAAGAGTGAAAGGAGAAAGGAATTAGAACAGACTGGAAAGAAAAAAAATGTAGAAATCCAAACAGAAATGGTGGAGAAGAAAGGAAGAAGACAGACACTAGACACAAAACTTGAAAGAGAACAGGCAGTGTTTATGGAAGGGTGATATGGGTATAGAGGGGGAGATTACTCTGAGATACAATAATGAAGCTGAAAAAAAAGAAATCATTACAGTAAAAGAATAAGTCCATCCTGTCCTTCACTACACTGCATCCACATAGGTCACTTATAAAAGAGGAAAGATAGAGTCAGCAGAGGAGAGGAGGGAACTAAAAGAAGGTAGCCACATCTCGATGCCCTTGCTGCTAAAACCTTCAGCATGAGAAAGTGGTCCTTAGAGTTAGTTCAAGCAGGGAAGAAAAACATTGGTGATGGAGGGCAAGGGTGGTTCTCTGGCAGATGAGGTTCCCTCAGTGCAGGTATCCAGGGAATGAGATGCATTTTTGTTTCTCCAAAACCCCCAGTGATGTGGCAGTGAATTTCTGTGACAGAGGAAGGAATAAACAGCTCATAAGAGAGTTGGTATATACTCTGCATGGTGTTGGGAAGGACTGAGCAACTGAAATATCATAAATACAAGTTTAAGCAAAGTTTCGTTACTGATGACTGCTTTAGAATCATAGAAATCTTTGTAAACATTTAGTGATGTGCATCAAAGAAGATATCCTAACTCAACTTTGTTCTTCAAAAATCAAGGGGTAATGCAATATCATGAAGACAGCCTAACGTTTCCCTATTGCAAAGATGATATTTGCCTGGGTGGGATTTCTGTTGGTTGTGTGCGGGGAAGCAGATGCTAAACCAGCTGTTAGGAGCTGAACATGTAATTCCTGTAAAGTGCAATGACAATCTAGCCTGAGGCCTTAATTTTTCTAAAAGCAACCATCTGCAAGGTATTTTTAAAGCAATATGTAAATGAAACTAGCACTAAAATTTTCTCCATAGTACAAGAAGCACGGCCCAGCAAAAGGACTTACTGGCTTAAAGCACTGGTAACTGGGTTTAGATCCCATTTCTGCCATGAACGTCCTCTTTGACCTTACGTGAGTTACTTTATCAGTGTTTGTACATGGGCTGGACACTGGAACACACTGTTGGTTCAGGACTCCATGTGATATTGCAGGATAAAAAACAAAAGCAAAAAGATAAAGAGGCAAGGTTAAAACCCCAAAAAATGTTTTGGCAGCAGGTGGAGAGGCTCATGAAGCTCCTTTTTTGGTTGCGCTGCAGCTTCACTGACATGTAAATGGAGGCAACGTTGAGCTATGTCCCACTCCTCAGTCCTCCTGACACACAAGGTATGCCCATAAAGGACTTATGGACCTGTTCCCCAGCTCACAGAAGTCAGTGAAAGACCATCTATTGCTCCAGCAGATGTGGTTGGTGGAAGAAGATGTAGATCCTACCATACCTATGGACTGATTAAAAAATTATTCTTTTAGATAAATGAAGGAATAACACATACTTACTTGCCTATGCTATCCTGACTGTCTGAGGAAAACAAAAGCAATATTAGCCATGTCTTTTTTAGAGTCGATGATTGTTGATTATTCATGTTTAAAGATAAATTTCAAGACTGTAATGGAACTCACAGACATGGTCTCATAGAAAATGATTAATTCACAGCTAGCAGGGTATTGAAAGTCATATCATTTATTCAGACCCATGGCGAACCACAGCTCCTTAAGAAAGTGAAGTGTTTGCACAGGCATAGAAATGAATTACAAATGCACAGAGATCAGTTTGCATTAAGAGGAGCTGTGTGGATAAGTACTGCAGCTCCTGTTTTATGAGCAACTAAATGCATTTTGGTGTTAACTCTAAGGAAGTTTGCTCATGGCTATGTCTATCGTCATCGTAGTTGTTTACCTCCACTTCATCCAGTCAGGAAAAATTCAAAGTGTTAAAAAAAAACAAACCTCAGCACATGAACATGTTATAGACACCATGGATATACAGGGAGTAGTATTGTAAAGGCTGGCTACAATATGAGTCAAAAAAAAGAAAAAAATAATTCAAAGACACTTTTGAGCTTAGGACAGTGTCTCAACCCTGGTAATATGAGTTATGAATAGAAATCATGACAAGTGGATGTTGAACATCAGGGAAGAGGGCTGTATTATGTGACAAATGGTCTCACTAGAATGCACTTCATCAGTGCACGTTCATTAGAAAACCCGTAACTCTGTAAATTATGCCATCCACAGACATGTGAAAATGACTTTTAGGAATTATGTTGGGTTAACTGTTTATAAAGCAACGTGTTAAGATATGCACATAGATTTGATTCCTGAGTTCACCTTCAAGCTGTTTCATGTTTTAAAGCATTTCAGTTCACCTTTACAAGTCCAAAGAGATCTTTGAATAAATGCTACTGGAAAAAATAAGCCATTTAAGTTAAACAGAAATATACTTTACTGTATCTTATCTGGCTCTCTAAACTATCAGTAGAAGTGAAGTTTGCTTTTCATTTAATGTTTTATTGCTCACACACACAGATATACTTTGGAGAGTGTGGTGCATGGCAGAAGTAACATAACCCAGGAAGGTGGAAAATTTTTGTAAAGGTTTTTGTAAACACAGCAGAACTCAGAGTCAATCATACAAAAAACCAAGGAGAGCTGGGTTTGTATAATCCTGCAAAACAAAGAATGAAAAGGCTCTTGTCTGTAAATACATGCAGCGGGTGGGAGGAAAGAGGGGAACTATTTATGTTAAAGAACAATTCTTGGCACGAACCTGGTTAGATATACACTGCCTAGGATTTAATGTGAGCTGGGAATTAGAAAATGATGTTGACATTGGAGCAATGAGATTACAGACCCTATGCCCTGGGTGCATTCACCAAGGCTCTGGTTGCACCCTCGTAACTGAGATGGGGCTCTGGTTCCATTTATACAACTATCAAACATCTCTTCTGTGTGAAACAGTACAGCATATTCTCACCTACTCATGACAGCTATTGACTGAATGAAAAATGATTTTTTTCAATAATTTATAATTAAGCCGTTTATGAATAAACTACCTAAAATATACAAACCTGGGTTGACTAAAACCTTTAAAAATCATTTCATTGTCCTAAATACTCTTAGCAAGGGAGTAGTGGCCATTTCAGACTTTCTTTTTCCTGGAAAATAATTGAACACTTCTGCTCAGGCGAAATTTGCAGACACAAGGTTTTAACTAGACTGCTATGGACTGTAGTGTCTAATTGCTGTAATTATGCAGACTACAGCCTGAATCGTCAGGCAGTCCTGGTGCTTTTCCAGATGAATGTTTCCCAGTAAGTGAGGAAAAACTCACTGGTGAGGTAGATCTCACTGGCAGGACTGCTTGGTCTGCAGAGAGCTTGCGAAATCTCCATTCTTGGAGATATTCAAAATTTGACTTGACAAGGACCTGTGCAAATGGCCTAACTGTGAAGTTGGCTCTGCTTGGAGCAGAGAGGTGGGCTAGAGATTTCCTGAGGTCCCTTGCCACTGAAACCTTTCAATGCTCCCATTAAAGAGCAACTCTGTCACAGCGAGGTGCAGGTAAGCACTAGGCCAAAAGGGAGCAGACCCGAGCTTGGAAGCATGTGAAGAGATGATAGCAGCTGTATGGGATGAGAAAGAGCTGTGCCTAGTGGGATGTATGCAGAGGATGGGCGGTCCCCTGAGATGAACCTCAGGGACAGCAGAGCCTGCAATGGCAGTCCTCTCCCTCCCCCTCTACCCCACCTGCGACCATCAGGACTGTGGGTGGCAGTGACTTAGTAAAGTGCCTGGCTTACGAGAGCATACCATTTTGGGCTCCCCAATACAGGAAAGACATTGATAAACTGGAGTGAGTTCAGTAGAGGGCCACCAAGATGGTAATGGACTGGAGCACTTTCCCTGTGAGGAGCAGCTGATGGAGCAGGGCTTGTTCAGCCTGTAGAAGAGAAGGCAGTGTGGTGTCTAATGGGAGCCTGCCGGTACCGGCAAGGAGAGCCAGGCTCTTCACAGTGGTGAATAGCAAGAGGACAAGAGACAACAGGCATATGTTGAAACAAGAGAGGTTTAGAGTGGATAAAAGAAAAAACTTTTTCCCCATGAGGACGGACAGTGGAGCAGGTTGCCCAGAGCAGCTATGCAGTCTCCATCCTTGGAGGTTTTCAAGCCCTGGTAAGCCGTGAACAACTAGGTCCAACCTCAGAACTGATCCTGCTTTATCAGGAGGACTGGATTGGAGACCTCCTGAGGTTACTTCCCACCTGAATTACTCTATGGCCATTTGATCAGCTACTCCTCCTTGAAAGGCATTGATAGTACCACTGCCTTTGCTCTACTGCACATGGACATGGCATGCTTCAGGGAACTGCACCAAAATCCAGAGGGATTCACAAAGAACAAAGACCTGGAGAAGCAGGTTCCTGATTTCACGCAACACTGCTCTCTCAAATCCTGTTCCCTAAGTCATCAACTCAATAATCTGGGTTGTTCTTACAGTTTGAGCTTTTGTCCCTCACGAAGACAAGGTTTTACGATGTTCTGTCTCCAAAATACTTTAAGGTTTGCCCACCTTCAAAATCACACCCATTTCCCCTCGCTGTTTCAGGGACTGAAGTCACAGCTGCAGCTTTGAAAAAAACGTCTCTGCCTTCATCCTTCCTTCTCTTTCTGCTCAGTAGAAGTGACTGCTTCTGCCTTCCCATGCACAGGGGATCCACCATCAGCCTGGGCAACAGCTGCACATTCCTTCCTCTGAGGGCAATGGGAGGCCCTGGGTCCATTGAGGAGGAAAGGAAAACAGAATGCCTTCATTAGAAATGGGCTTTCAGTTCTGAAAAATAGTAGCCAAAATTCATACTACCTTTTAAGGGGAAAAACTCATGAATTACAGCAGCTCTGGCTAACAGAAAGCCTGAGAAAGTGGGGAAGGATGTATGTGATGCATGCATGAGAAATATGGGAAGAGGCAGATGAATGAGCTAAAGAGCATGGAAGGTTATATGCTGGGGCTGCAAAAAATCGGTGGCAACTGGAGGTACGGAAAAGGGACTGGTTACTTACTCCTTTATTTATTTAAAGTCTAGAGAACTCATGTATTTTCCTATTTAAAAGTGGAAATTTTTTCTTTCAGCAAAATAGTAAGTTTGCTTTTTAGTGAATCACTGACGAGAGAAAATTAGGTGATTTTGGAGCAGGAGGAGGAGAGGCCAAAAATCAAATGTATCTTTAAAGAAAACCATTTAATCTAAGCTGGATCTGAAAGATTGGATTGTACATCTCCATCTCTGAACCGATTAAGATCTCTTAATCTGTATAACCCGGAACTTCTTGGGTTTGTAATGATTGGATTCGGGATCCGTTATAACAATATAGCATCTGACCACTGTTTACTGCTGTGGGATTAACATAACTCAGGTGCAATTTGAATTCACCATACATATCTTTTAACTACCTGCTGACAGGCATGGTAGCAAATGAGACAAGAATCTTTTCCTGAAAGTATCAGGACTGTCAGAGGTGAAGTGCCAGCTCAGCTGGTTCAACAGCCTTTCTTCCTCATACATGACGAAGTGCTTCATACCCCTGGGCTCATAGTGAATAACAACTGTTTGAACCCTGGAACCTGGCTTTTTAGACTTAAATTTCTGGCAGTAAAAATTAAGTCAAAGACTTTTGGTGGTGGTGTTGTGTATGTATTTACAGAGTGTGTTTTTTCCTTCCTTCCAGGTCTTGGCTTTTGTTACTCTATTATAAATGGCCCTACTAATGCAACGGTCCTTGCTGGTTCAGAAGCCCGTTTTAATTGCACTGTGTCGGTAGGATGGATAATTCTCATTTGGCTGTCCAATGGAAATCCCGTCCTCACTGTCATCAATTCTCAGGGAGCTATTGAAACGTCAAACCGCTTCACCTCCCAAAATTATACCAGTAGCAACGGGTTTACCTCGGAGCTGATCATCCGGAACACACAGCTGAGTGACTCTGGAAGAATTGAATGCAGCACCCAGGAACCTAATGAGAAGAGCTTTGCATTTCTTTCTGTTCAAGGTGCGTATAGCCATCAATAGAAAGCTATTTTATTTTACTGCACTTAAAGGAATCTTCTGATGGATTGCCCAAATTATCCCTGCGAAGGAGTACGTGCTCTCATTTACCATCCTTTGCTTCTTGTCCTCCTTGTCTTAATTTTATGGACAAAGCAGGTTTCAGAGTCACACTGAGTGCTATTAACAAAGGTTCGAACTGCCCTTGTTTTTTCCTGTTACATCTCGTATTCTTTACTGGGTTGCATTGAAGTGCCTGAAGGCTGGATCAGGCCCACCAGCAGTCAGTCAAAAATGATCTGTCAACTAGAAACAGTATGGATTACCCCATACACACATCTTTGTACTTGAACCTTCTGCTGTCTTCAGGGCAGATCTCCCTCCTGATTTCTGACTCAAGAATCAGTCTCTATCCAGCTTATTTGAGTTTGATTTAATGGAGCATAGAAGTAAAGCCCTTGAGACACAAGGCGATACTCTTCACGTGGTTGCTGCTGCAAGGTACCATTTCCAAGGAACAAAAAGTTCCTGTGTATCACAACCTTGTGTATGAGACCTCTTCCTCCTCTCTGAAGCATCAGTAGTGACAGAGTGCAGCCAGTAAAGCAAGATCTAACCACCAGACAATATCCATATGTCAAAGAGATGCTTCATGCAATGAGAACATCTCATCATATACTCGTAAACCTTTCCTGATAAAACCCAAGCATACTTAAAATTTAGAGAGAAACACTGTTACCTCATTATGTCATCCTTCAGATGGAAATTTATCAGGATGGTTAAAAAGTTTAGTTTCCTTCTTTTTATTGGAAAGGTAGTGAAAGGTGAGACTTGTGCTTTAGACATACTAGACAACATGTCTATGAAGTTGCAATATCGGCATGTTTATATCATGCATATGTTATATCTTTGTTAACGATTGTTTTTAAATTCATATCTCAAGGCATAGCTAATTCTGGATAGCAAGATAAGATTTTAAGCTATCAGCAAGAAAGCAATGCAGCCACATGTTCTGAAGGAACAAAACATCTTTTCCCTCCTACAGTTAATGGATCTTTATTCATCACAAATAGCACCTTAAAAGTAAAAGAGAACAAAACAGTTGACATTGTTTGTGAAGCCTTGGGATGGGCTCCAGCTCCAGACATTACCTGGATGACAAATGACTCTTTCATTGATAAGTCAAGGTATGTTACCCAGCAAAGTCTAGGATCTAATGACCTCCACAATGCCCTGAGCATCCTAACTTTCACTCCGACGGACACTGAGATTCTGACATGTTTAGCTGACATAGAAGCACTCCCTAACCCTCAGAATGCAACTGTGACTGTTATTTTGGTGAACTCTACCATCGGTAAGTGAATGTTTGTTGTATTTTGCCTATACTATTTTCTTAGAATTGTGCTTTTTGTTTTGTTTTGCTTTGTTTTATTTTGAAAAGTATTTTATTTGCAAATGAAATATTATGAGATGTGCAAAGATGATAGAATTAAGACTCAGTAGTCACAACCTGATACATACTGTTGTGGCCCAACCCCAGCATAAGCACCATGGAGCTGCTCACTAACTCCTCCTCCCCCATGGGACGGGGAGGAGAACAGGAAAAAGAAAAACTTCTAGTTTGAGATAAAGACAGTTTAATAGGACAGGGAAAAAAAAGAGAATAATAAAAATAAAAGTGATAATAATATACAAAAGAAGTAATACACAATACAGTTGCTCATCACCTGGTGGCTGATATCCAGCCTGTTCTCAAGCAGCAATCATGCCACATCCAGCCAGCTCCTCCATTTTATATATTGAGCATGACATTATATGGTATGGCATATCCCTTTGATCAATTTGGCAGAGCATGGGAAGCTGAAAGTCCTTTCCTGCTTAGCAATGACTGAAAAAAATCAATCAGTGTAGTATCAGTATTGTTCTCATACTAATTCCGGAAACGTAGCACTATAGCAGCCACTGAGAAGAAAATTAGCTCTATCCCAGCTGAAACCAGGACACATACATAGAGTTAAATTCACATGTATGAGAGGACTGGTACAAGTCTAATGAACCACAAAGTCTGGCTTAGGACTGAGCAAAACAAACGAAGCAGTACACCTGCCACTGACTCCTACTATGGATTCACTGCTAAGAAAACCGATCTTTGCTCCTTGACCAAGTAAACATCTAATGAATTTAGATGTTAAATATCTTTGATCAGGCCATGACTGCCATATGAACATAATTTGTTAGATCTCATTTACTTAAAGCCAGACCCTCAGGTGGAATTGTTCTCTGTAATATTCAATACCAGTTTTACCACTGACTTGAAAAAAACCCCTGAATTTTACTCCTAGTTTCCACACACAACCCAGAATAGGTTCTGTACTAGCACTTCAGAAAGTTCTCCACGTAAGCTGTGATCAGATGTGACGGAGCTGTTGTGGAATGGTGGTAACATCCCCAGGGCTGCACTGAGGCTGGCACTTATTTGGAGATGGTAATATTTATATGTAGGAACTTCTATACCGTATACCTATCATCAATCTACTATAAAAACATCTCTGTGTGTGGTGTATTCACCCATTACAGAGCAAGAATCAGATCAAGAGAAGCTGCAGATTATGGGCTTTATCCCAAAGTCTGCTTATATCAAAGAGCCATTGGGCCTGCTTTCCTCTTCCTAGTATGGTCTCTTTCGCATCTTAGAGGAAGGTAAAATTTGTCCTGCAGCAATATATGTGAGATTCTTTGGATAGTGCATTTGGTTGCTTTTAATTGCCTTTTATTTAAGGAAGTTCAAGGTCACTTTAATCCAAACATGGATGTTAAGCAAATCTCTCAAGAACAGTTAGAGCTTCGATGGTCCTAAATATTTACACTAATGTTATCAGCATTTTTTGTAATGCTGCTAATCTTTGGCCTCACTGACATCCTATGAAAATAAATTCCATAATTCAACACACAGTATTAAGAGGTTTATCAGGAAAAAGGTCATTTTATCTGATCTGTGCTGCCAGCATGGAGCAAAGCAAGTGGGACTACCACTACAGATCTGCCTCATAATCTAACAGAATCCTCTGAAAAATATTTTTATTTTCCAAACCAAGTAAGAGGAAGTATCTCCCTGTGGGTTAGCAGTGTTCAATGTAGGTGAGAGAGACAATACCAGACAATTTCTCTGTTGGGACTAGCCAAATGTCTCAACCGTAAGGTAGAGGAATCTCAAGACAAACTGAACTTGAACCACTAATTACATGGCAGGGAGCTGAGGTTACTGGATATAGGTACACTGCCTCTTATGGTGACATAGGCCACCCTACAGCGACATCCCTTTTATTAGCCTTATCCTGTGATATGGGAAATGCAGAGGCTGTATGGAGTTTTTTTGCAGTGGGTCTATGCATCCCCATCTGTCTTCTGTACAGATTAGGACCTCAAATCGTTTCTTCTCATGGTGTGGTGAACATCATGAACTTCTATAATCGTGCTGACAGCCTCGCTTGATGAACTGATTCTTCTTCTGCAATAGGTGAACACAGCATGTACAAAGACATTCTTATAGTGAATTGATGAGGGGTTTGGTATAGAAGTTTCAGCATATAAACAACTGAGGAGGCTGAGTAACTCTGCCTTTTATTTTGAGTCATTATTAGCAAGCCTTTTTAGATGTACTTGCTTTGTAACGCAGTTGAAAAAGGTCATTTCACCATTCTTAATATGACTTTTTTGTCGTCAGATTGCTCCTAATTACTGACTAAGCAAAACAGAACTATCCTGAGGAAATTAATAAATTCCCCTGTCTAGTCTTTTATGAAGTACTGAGGTATCCACCCTCAGTTTCCATAGCTACTCATCGTAAATCAGAAGAGGAGAAAAACAGATGTCATGAAGCACAATTAGTGTATAATTAGTGATTGGATAAGACCATCATTCATTTCTGTTTGGAAAAATCATTGTGCAGCAGCAGACGCTCAAAATTCGTTAGGAATATGAGAATATGAAGTCTTTAAATTACTAGAATGAAATAAAGACATGGCACTTACAATAGAGGAAGATATATAATGTATATACCACACTTGAAATCTCAGAGCTTGTCTGACTTTTCATAAACAGACTCAGCCTTAGCTAGCTGTTGTCAGGAAAGAATATAACAAGCTTTAAACATCTAAGGAGTCCTTCCCAAAACTACTGCAATAGCAATTTCAGCCTTCACTTAAAAGCTTGAAAAATCTAATTCCTGCTTGTTCCTCACAAGCAATACCTGTCCATTCACAAGAACTGCAACCAAAAATCTGAGCCCTCTTCAGCCAGCCATCTCCTGGCCAACAAATGTCTTACCTCCCTGCACCTCTAGATCAGTCTTAATCTCAGACTTTTCCATACAAGGTCACTTGTATGTCAGTTGCTCCTTCTCCAGAGTCACCTCACTCACAGTGGTGTTTAGCTGAGCTCCGGATTTAGGAACTCCTATGGAGTTATCCCAGTAGATGCATTCACAGACCTGTTATTGGGAAATGAGATCCATGGTAGAGTCCCTTAGCTGGTCCCAGGCTCTCTTTGGCGTCCGTGTTGGCTTCACGTGGCCTTTGACCTGCAGAAGATGAAGATAGGGAACCTGCCATGAGCCTGATCTTCCTTTGCTTTTTATGTTGGCCAGAAAACTCCAAATTATCCAAGAAGCGATGTGCAGCTTTTTTCGGTCTCTCATTTCTCCTTGGTCACCAGCACGTGCCCGGGAAAATCCCCTTTTCTGCAGATACTTAGCCCAAGTAAATTTTTGGGCAGCTTTGGGAGGAGCCAGAGGTCCGAGTAGCAGCAGAGGATGGGCCCTATAGAATGAGGAAGCAGCTTTGTCCGTGTGGATTAACTAATGTGGCTGAAAGGGGTTTAATGTCCTCATATCTTAGTGCCCTTTTCTTGTACCTCTACTTTTATGTTGACCTGGCAGCTCCTGCATTTGTACCTGCTGGCTCCTGCTCCAGTTTCTTTCTGGATCCTCTAAAACTGGGGAGAAACTACAGTGCTGAAGTGACGAGAGTGTTTGTGTTCTATCCTGACCTCACTTTGGCTCTGTAGATCCTCTTTTGGCATGTCACCTGAACCTGGCAGGGAGCGAAATACCTTGGTGTGGCAGCCAGCCTGGAGGTGTGGGCCAGTGCAGGTGTGTTTAGGTCCTCCCCTTCATGCTAGGGTTAACCTTTCCTCTATAGCTAATTAGCTGTCTTTCATATTTTAGGCATCTTGAAATCCCTGTGGCATGCTTTATGAAACAAAATATGATAAAATATAGATATTTCTTGCAGTACTTCTAGATAAAAATATTATGAGCAAGTTTATCACCAACTGATTACAGCCCACAGAATTAACTACTAGTTTGCAGGTTACTGAGTGCTTGTGTTTTCTACTAGTCAGAAGAAATTCAAATACATGCTGATTGAGCACTAGCATTAGAGAGGACTGGAACAAATTGCTTAATCATAATGACCTGAGCTCTGGAGAACGCGGGGGTCCTAACTGAAGTTCAAGCTTTGTAGGAGGATCTGTTCCTCTATCTTTCCAATCTGAAGCATCCAAACCCCAAACATACGCCTGGGCAAATTTGCAGATAGAAAGAATTTACTTTATTCCCTGCCGTAGGTAAACCATCCGGTACTCTGGTTCACACATCAGAGGCATAGCCCTGGTGCTGTGCAGCTACCAGTCACCTACATTGCTGCGGTACCTTTTCCAGAGGCTGTCAAAATTATTTTGGGGCTGCTTTTTTTTCAAGGAGTAGCCAAATTAAAGGTGCTTCTGAAACAATTCGGTTAAAACCAAAAGGCAGGGTGATGTGACAATCGGAACTGACATCTTCCTTGTGCATCCAGCTATGTGAGAAATACGTGGTATTTTTAAAATTCCGTGCATGTGGGAGCTCTGTGGCAAAACTGTTTGGTCAAAGCAACTGATTTCAGTGAGACACTGAATTATCTTTAAATCACCTCATTTAACTCTGTAGATTACAGCAAAGACAAAGGAACAAGTTAATGTTGTGAGAATGCTGGTAGAGAAGATGGATTAGTAGCTGTGTATTCCCAAACAGTGCTGCTCTCTACAGGTTTTGCTCTTTGTTGCTCTTTAAGTTGATAGCAGATGCCCTGCCAAGTATGTCCCAAAATCAAAGACTTGCTGAAATCAGTGACAGAAATCCTAGGATGGGATTAATCAGAAAATCGTGTCTACAGGCTAGAAATCTCAGTCTGTATTCATCACCTAAGACTAGTCACCTCTCTGTGGCGAAAAATGGACACTTCCTCAGAGTTGTTTACCTTATCAGAAAGGACACATACACATTTGGCCGAACTAATTGTAACCCAAAATACCTATTTTATCTCCACTGACAAGAGCAGCTAGGCGAGATGCTTAATATCTGCAGTATAGACATCAAAACTGGATCTTAACCCCTCTCCCCAACCCCAAACGTACCCGAAAGATGTTGGGAGGCCTGGCATATCTACAAACTCAAGTTTAGGTTGGAAGACTTCAACCCTGTGTTTTTAAGATGAGAAGTGGCTGTGGGAAAAGTTACAATTTCAATAAAGAATTTGCATTTGGAAATGTTTTAATTTCTTGGGCACCATCCGTACAGAGTCTGTCGTTTGGAAAACACAGACTCCTTGTTAAATAATCAACAAGCAGTTAATAGCTTCTGACAGAAAAGGTAAATATTCTGAAAAGGATGTTCTGAGACTCTGATAGTATAATATTTCTCCATTTAATTTAACAGAAAATGATTACAGTGAAGGCAGCAGAGGCACATGGGTTATTGTACTTGCAGTTGTGCTGTCATTTGTTGGTATTATTCTGCTGATCATTATTATTGCGGTGGTTGTACGCTGCTGCTTCCTAAAGAAGAAAGGTAAGTGGACCTTCACAATTAGTCTATACCTAAAAAAGTATCTTAAATTAGATATAAATCATAGAATTATAGAATGGTTTGGGTTGGAAGGGACCTTCAAGATCATCTGTTAAAAGTTTCTTCGGCCCCCCCCCCCCTGCCATAGGCAGGGACCCCTGCCGCTAGATCAGGTTGCTCAAAGCCCCATTCAACCTGTCCTTGAATACTTCCAGGGATGGGGCATCCACAGCTTCTTTGGGCAACCTGTTCCAGTGCCTCACCACCCTCAGAGTGAAGAATTTCTTCCTTATATCTAATCGAAATCTCCGCTCTTTCAGTTTAAAGCCATTGCCCCTTGTCCTATCACTACACATCCTTGTAAAAAGTCCCTCTCCAGCTTTCTTGTAGGCCCCCTTTAGGTACTGGAAGGCTGCTAGAAGGTCTCCTTGGAACCGCCTCTTCTCCAGGCTGAACAACCCCAACTCTCTCAGCCTGTCGTCATAGGAGGGGTGCTCCAGCCCTTGAATCACCTTCGTGGCCCTCCTTTGGACCCACTCCAACAGCTCCATGCCCTTCTTATGTTGGGGACCCCAAAGCTGAACGGAGTACTCCAGGTGGGGTCTCACGAGAGCAGAGAGGGAGAATCACCTCCCTCAACCTGCTGGCCACACTTCTTTGGATGCAGCCCAGGAGACAGTTGGCTTTCTGGGCTGCAAACACACATTGCTGACTCATGTTGAGCTTCTCA